AATATATCTTCATTATTCCATGAGGTGTTTGGATCAAAATGGCATGTATTGGGATAAGAATTATACTGCTGACTATAAAACTCACAAGAAAAATCAACATACTTGTTATATCGTTTAAATAAGCAATCAGAACTAAAATGGTCTAATCCACACCATTCACAAGTGATATTTGATCGTTCTATTCGAGCCTTCCTTAATTTGATCCTTTCAATGGCTGCTTGAATTCGTTCAAGTTCATTATTGTCAAGTTCTGCATCCCAATTGATAGTTATTGCTTCAACTTGTGCTCTTATCTCTGGCGCAAGCCAATGATAACTCATATAATTACCTATGGCAACTCGATTCATAGTTAGACCTGCAAAAACAAAAACAAAGAAAACAAAAAAAAAAAATCAAAGTAAAAAATTAAAAGAAAAGAAAAAGTTCAAATTAAATCTAGAATGAACCAACTTCGATATTAATTAAATCAACAATCCCCGGTAACGGCGCCAAAAACTTGATGCACTAAAATCACTCTAACAAGTGTACTAGTCACTCCAAGTAATATAATGATGAGAGAGTGTCGAACCCACGAGGATTGTGTCTAACTAAGTACCAAAATAATTAATCTAAATTTATTTGAATAATCAAATAGAAAGAAACTTTAATTAAAAATAATAAAAGAAAATAACAAATAAACCTAACCAAGATAGGAGGTACTAAGACATTGATTTCACCATAATCAATCAATATAAATTCTGGATTACCAAATTGTTGAGTGTTATTGCATGTGATGGCGGATTTCCCTAAATTAATTAACTAGCTTTCTCAAGTTAAGTTAATCTTTTACTGATTTGTTAAATTAATCATATCTTTATGTAATTTTAAACAAACTAATGAGCATTAGATTCTATGGAAACCTCTAGCTTAAGAAGGAGGAGCTACTAACTCTCTTCTCTTCCTCCACTACCACATGTGAACTAATTACCTCTCGGTCTCATAATCTAGCACACAATTTATATTATTATTGGTCTAATTTACGCAATTCTTTCTCAAGTTCATGCATAAATCACTAAATCAATTGAAAGATGATCAGGCTTTCAATGCATTAAGTTCAATAATATAAACTCCTCATGCGAATAACTTTAATTGAAAATATAAAATCACAAAATCTATATTGAATTGATTAGGTTACATCATAGTCTTAATAAAATAAATCAGTTCATAATAAAAAGAATAAAATATGAAATCAAAGTTATGAACATTCAAATATCAAACAATAAATAAAAACGCAAGGAAAAACAAAACCCAATTTGAGGAAATCGAACTCCTTGATCTTTTATTATTGATGGAACCTCAATCTTGATCTCCAATAATGCTCAAAAGAGGGCTGCCACCAGCCTCTCCAAAACTCTCTTAATTCTGAATTTGGATGGGTATTTATAGGATTTTAGAAACCCTAATTGAAATTAGAAGTAGGAGTTGGAATAGAAATAGGAAACTGAATTTTAGATGCTGATCGCGTGGTGCTGACACTTCGGATTACATGTTGACACAATAAGAAACAGAATCTGATTCTGGACGTTTAGCGCATGGTGTCGACACCCCGATCATGTGTCGACACTACACCCGTGTCGGGTTTCTACTCTCCTTTTGCAATTTCTTCGATGGTAAAATAGCAGATTTGGTTCCTGACTTTTGGATTCTGCATAAGTTGATCCTCAAGTCTCTGATCTCTTCAATTTACTTCTAAAAAGTAAGATTTCTTCCAATTAAATCCTTTCCTACGCAAAGAATAAAAACCATATAAAATCAAACAAAATCCCATAAAATTCATCCAAATATCAATAAAATCAAAGTAAAAATTCCCTATTAATATGTATATAAATTTAGCTCATCAGAGTGGACTTTCGGTGCTTGACCTTATAAGTGTTTAGCAATCTTTGCACATGTTGATTAACAAAAAGAGTTCCATTGCCACTTACAATTTTGTATAGGATGCTAAAACGGCAAATTATGTGCTCCTTGATAAAGTTTGATGCCACTGGACCTATAGCCTTGCAAAGAGGGACAGCCTCCACCCATTTGGTGAAAATATTAGCTGGCCACCAATATCCAAATGTAACCCTCAGATGAAGGGTGAATAGGACCGATTAGATCCAAGCCCCAAATATAAAAAGGCCAAGGAGTTCTCATATCTTGCAACAAATTAGGATGGAAATGGATGAGACTAGCATGAACTTAGCAAGTGTGACATCGTCAAACGAAATCTACAGCATCTTGCTTCATGCTTGGCCAATAAAAACCATGAGCTAAAAGTTGCTCATATAGCTTCCCTCGTCCTTAATGTTCGCCGCATTCCCCTACATGTATATCAGCCATGACTTTCTGAGATTCTATTAATGATAAGCAATGAAGCGACTCACTCGCGAAGTTAGTACGAAACAGAATTCCCTCATCCATGAAAAATTTCGACAAGGATCTCTTTAGATTGTGTGCATCTTTCAAGGATTCTGGCCATATTCCCTCAGTGAAGTACTCCATGCAAGGATGGTGCCAATCTTGAACGCTGTTAGCTGAGAAGCATTCTTTGTTTTGATAAAAAGTCTATTGACAAGACACACATTGTTGTTGGAATTTAGTGGATTGTCAAGCCATGTCTGGCCAATAGTACCCTGCTCGTTGGATCCGATGATAGAGGCTTACACGGCTATCGTGACCACATGTGTGATCATGGATTTCCCAAAGTTTGTGATAAGCCTCCTTATCGTTGACACACCTAGCCAAGACGCCATTAGGAAGGCAATAGTATAGCTCATGATAAATAATAACATAGCCAAATAGGTCCCTTAAAGGCACGTCAAATTTTTGCTACAGCAGGGCGCTATAAATCTCATACTGCCAGTTAGCATGGTCGAGGAGCTTAAGCAAAACAGATTTGCAACCATGATAGATAAGTTGCTTTTTTCGAACAATTTGGATGCTGCACACCAGGGAAGGTACCTTGAACTTGACCAAGGATCAAACTTGAATCACCAATGATTTTCAAGTGCTGCACACCAGCCTCCTTAGCCATAGCAAGGCCAATAAGATAAGCTTCGTACTTTGCAGTGTTGTTCGTGCATTGAAAATTAAGCTTGAATGAAAATACCATATCATGGCTTTTGTCATTTCTAAGAACAATGCTAGCCCCAACCCCTTCAACCATGGAAAAACCATCAAAATATAATGTCCATTCTTCGTCAATTGCCTATGCAATAGTACTACTTGGGACTTCGTCAGAGACAGGATAGTGAACTTCGCCCTAAAACTCAAACAGCAAATATGCAATAGCTTGCCCTTTTATAGCGGTGGGATTATTGCATGTAATATGATATTGAGACAATTGAAGGAGCCAATTAGCAAGATGACCAGTAAGCATGGGCCGTGTTAGAAGGTCTTGAATGGGCTGAGACTTAGTGATGAGTTGTATTTTATGAACTAAGAAATAATGTCGTACGCATTAAGATACATAAATTAATGCAAGGAAAATTTTCTCAACAATAGGGTACCTTGATTCAACGCCTTTGAGGTTTTGACTAACATAATAAACTGGCCGTTCCTTGCCTTCTTGGTCCTCTTGGGCAACCAATGCACTCATAGCTTTGTCAACAGTAGACAAATAGACTTTAAGTGGTCTACCTTAGATGGGGCAGATATGGTCGGCAATCTAAGCATGAGATCCTGTAGATATGAGAAGGCACATTGCTGCTCTGCAGTTGAAACGAAAGTGGCTCCTTTCTTCAACAAAGGGCTAAATGCAGATAGTATTTTTGCCAACGGAGAGATGAATCTACAAATATCTAAGAACTTACCGATGAGGCTTCGTATCTGTTTGAGATTCTTAGGTGGCTACATGGCTTGGATAGCTTCAGACTTGGCTAGGTCCACATTGATACCGTGTTTACTCATAAGAAAGCCTAGGTATTTCCCAGCGGAAACACCAAATGCACACTTTTCTAGATCATTTTCAGCTTGTATAGACAGCATCTGTCGAAGACTTTCCTCAACTCATCGAAGTGGCCCAGTCTTGTTTTGGATTTCACCACAATGTCATCAATGTAGATTTCAATGTATATGTGGATGAAATCATGAAAGATTGCCACCATGACTCTTTGATAAGTAGCCCTCGCATTGTTTAGTCTAAAAGGCATAACATAGTAAAAGTTAACAATATGGGTATGAAAAGTAGTTTTCTCTACATCGTTGGTGCACATGCTGACCTGGTTATATCCACTGCTACCATCCATGATAGAGTACATCTCACCGCTAGCATTGTCCATCAACACATCCATGTTTGGGACAAAGAATTTATCTTTAGGGCATGCCTTGTTGAGGTCGCGAAAGTCAACGTAGCACCTAATCTACCCATTCTTCTTTTGAACTGGGACAACATTGGCCAGCCAAGTCAACTTCTTTGTTGGTTTGATGAATCCTGCAGCTAAGAGCTTCTCAACCTCTTCTTTAATTTTCAAAGTAACCTTTGGATGGAAGGTGCGATTTGGCTGCACAACTGGCTTTATACTAGGATCAACATTCAAAGAATGTGCCACCAAGGTTGGATCAAGCCTTGGCATTTCATCATAGTTCCAAGTGAATACATTCAGATGAACCATTTTGGTTCTTTCATTCGTAGAAAGAGTGGTGTTAATATGTACATGCCTGGGGTTCATTGGATTATCTCTAAGATCAATAGCCTCGAGGGACTTCAGAGAAATGAGTGTCGGTTGAGCTTCATGGAGGGTTGGCAACTTGCTTGGTGGTATTAGATGATTAGCTTCACCAAAAAAATCTAGATGCTCAGCAAGTATCTTATTTCCAGCCTTAAGAGTGAGGCATTCTACTTTGTTGGAGAGATCTCATTCACCAATCGAATTATCTCTCTCCAAAGTGAAGAATAGACGATCCAAAGACATGGCTACACTAATGGTGATGGGGCCATCATCAAGTATACTTGATTCTCCCGTCGGGAAGGACAATTCGAGTGCACTTTGGACGTGCTTGGACGGTCTTTGTTGCCTCCTTCTACCTCTTATGTTCTAGGACACTTCGCAAATCAAGATCAGGATTATCTTTGATGTCATTTCATGTTGGCAAGACAATGCCACCTGGGAGAGATGCTGTCGCACCGCCAGAAGAGTGAATTCATCATAAAAAGCAGCTTCAGCAAAGTGGGTCTTAGTTTGATCAAATGGCAACGGGTTGGCAGAGATGCAGAAAACCTTTTCCATTAAGATGACCCTTAACACATTGATGATAAGTAGAAGGGACAATTTTATGTCTATACAGTCATGGTCGTCCTAGCAATATATGATAAGAAACTTCCACGTTAATAACATAAAACGTAGTTTGAGATTGGACTGAACCGCCCTTTAATCAAGTCGAATGTATCAAAGGACGTGCTCACTGTTGCTACCGAAGCCAACAATGCTAAGTAGAGACTTGACGATTCTTCGCTAAGGGATTCTTGTAGTGATAATGGTGCTCAACGGTATCAGGTTTAAAGAAGATCCTATATCAACAAGTGCATGCCTAACACTGATAGAGTTGATCTAGGCAAATAGGTAAAGAGGCTTTCTATGGTTAGGATATGGTGCCTCCATATCTTCGTTAGTGAATGTGACGGCATTGGAAGATTCAAGATAAGCGTGGCTGGCATGTGTTTCAATGTTGAGGCATTCTTCTCCAGTCTCATTAGCGATGGAGAATATGGCTTCTGTGGCTCTTCATCCTGCCTCGGTAGTGAAACCAAGCTGATCAAATAGCATCTTGAACTTTAGAGTTCGCTGGAGTGCACGAACAGAGAAGTTGGGCGTATCATCAGGGAATTCAACTATTGGCTCGCTTGCTCCAACGCTCTCCACATGAGTGAGAACATTGACAACACCTTGGTTATGGTGTGGGAAAGGATCTTCATCCACCCTCTGTCTTCTGTTCAGCACTTCTAACAGTCCTTCTAAAACCCGTTGATGATACATCCTTCTCAAGGAAAAACAGTCCATGGTCGCATGGTGGACCAAGCGATGGTAGCAACAGTACTTGGGGTTGAGTTTGTCATCATTGCTGGGCTTGCGATGCACTTGAGGTAGTGTGATGGCATCATCAGCAATCCAAAGATCTAAGAGCATGTCAAGTTCTTTGACAGTGAGAGGAATAGGTGGTGGTAGTGCTGCACCACAATCTCTCCTTTATTGTCCTTATCCTTAGCCCCGGACAGAGACAACCAAGGTGTGAGCAGTAGTTTTCTTTTTCTATCGACTTTGCTGCAGATTTCCCAATAGAGATGGCTATGACAGAAATAGCTATTCTCTTGGTGACATCGAGTAGCCTTGCAAACTAGTTGATCTCGATGTTTTGAAGGACAGTGCGATACTCGAGAAACATGTTGTTAATGCAAATTTCTACTAAGAAGGACTCAGCATAGCCACTATAGCAATCAAGTGCCAAATCCCTAAATCTTTTCACATAGACCATTAAATCTTCACCAGTGCATTAGCGGGTGTTGTGGAGATCAAGGATGGTGATGCGCTCTTCACTTTGAAAATATTTTTGGCAAAATTGCTCCACCATCTCGTCCCAAGAACAGACAGAACCGAGAGGCAGATTGGTGTACCATGTATAAGCTCTATCAGAGAGAGACTTTGAGAACTCACGTAGGCACAAATCTCCATCACCGGCATAAGCCCCCATGGCATCAAGGAACTTGCTGACATGCTCCACAACATTGTCTTTCGTTCCATCGTATTGCAAGAATGCAAGGCTTTCATATTTCTTTGGGTATGGTTTGGATAGAATCTCCTTTGGATAGGGTGGGTCACGAACAAACTAAAAAGGGATTGTTTCATGTTTGGAACGTTCCCTGTCTAAGAGAGCAGTAAGGTCTACCATGGTGACATAACCTTGGGTAAAATTGGCTGCATTGGGTGGAGCTCCATCGGTATTGGTAGTTGCAACTATTGGTGGTACCCAGTTGTTCGGCCGCGCAGCATAACCTCCATTACCATCAATAGCCCTAGTATGGACTTCCTACACTGGAAGTTCCAGCCATATTAATGGGTTTGTGCTGGATCTTGCGCATCATGTTGGGTTTGTATGTTGGTGAGGAGTTGAGTAGTCCTTTGCTGGTCTTTGTGCAAGACGCAGATAACTTGAACTAGGGATGCAAGGTTGGGATTGGTGATTCCTTGCAAGAGGTCATTAAAAACATCTGTTGATGGATG